GAGAGAGAGAGAGAGTGTGTGTGTGTGTGTGTGTGTGTGTGTGTGTGTGTGTGTGTGTGTGTGTGTGTGGGCTGGGTGGTCAAAACGGAGACGACATGGCAGGTCGTGATCCCTCATGTAAATGCGCAATCCATGACAACGACAAAACAAGCAACACAGACAGACAGACAGACAGACACAGACACAGACACACACAGACACAGACACACACAGACACACACAAAGACACACAGGCACACACACACGCAGACAGACACAATATGCACCTTTGGCATGAATGGGTCATCCTCTTCAGCCTGCTGCTGCTGCTGGGTGCCTACTGGTGCCGAGTCCTTTGGGGCAAACGGGTCGTCGTCAAAGCCCCCCGTCGCGGTCTGTGGCGCCGTTGTGTTTGGCGCAAACGGATCAAACGCATCACCATCACCACCACCAGCGCTGCTCCCCGTGGCGGTGCTGTCTGCTGCCGTGAATGGGTCAAACGCATCACCATCACCACCGCCACTACTGCTGGCGCGCTCTCCCTGCTGCTGCTGCTGTTGCGCCTTGTGCTCCTGCACGAGCTTCTCTATTTCTTCCTTGGTGTGCGTCGCCGTGTCCACGAGGTGCCCGCGGTAAAACTTGCCCACGTTACCCTGTAGTGGTGGTGGTGGTGGTGGTGGTGGTGGTGGTGGTGGTGGTGATGATGATGATCATGGGTGTGATGGGGGAGGAAGGGATGGAGGGAAGAGTGGAGGCGATGCGTGAGCTGCCACAAAGGAGGAGACAGATGGAAAGACTGGCAAACACGCACAAACACAGACACACACACACACACAAGCACAGACACACACAGACACACACAGACACACACAGACACACACACACATGCACACAGACACACACACATGCACACACAAGCAAAGTCACGTCAACGGACCTTGCACACGCCTTCCCAGACGTCGCCCTCGCAGGGCTTGGGCACGAGCACCACGTCAAAGTAGGTAAAGGTGAGCCACCCTGGTCGGCCCTTGTAGGGCTTGATGGCCTGCAGGCGCACAATCTGTTTTGCCACGTCCGCCTGTTCCTGCTGCATGCGCTCTCGCTCCTCCTCGTCCACGACAAACTTGCGCGGCACCAGCCCAACCTTCCCCTTGCACACAACTGCCGTGGCGTGTGACGTTTGCGATGTGGTGTGAAGTGTTGCCGTGGTGTGTTGTGGTTCGTAGTTCGTGGTGTGACGTGTAGTGTGGTGTGGTTTTTGACGTGGGGTGTGTTGTGGTTTGTGAAACGAGTGGTTGGGGGCAGCGAAAGGCGGTGAGGGCTTTAAGTAAGGACACAAAGCCATGCATGACAATGACCACACCGCAAACGGCAATGTTTGCAACCCAGATACACACCTTGAATCATGGGGTTGTTGTTGAGGATGGGAACGTACACGCTGTCGCCCTGGCTCACAGACAGCTCACCGCGTTTCTAAATTCGTGGACGCACGGATGCGTGTATGCAGGCAACGAACGTAGTTGAAAACAACACAATTACAGCCGTAGGGCACAGGGCACAAGGTGAATGTGGGGGGGGGGGGGTCGACAGACACGCGCAAGCACGAAGGACAAGACGTAAAATCAAGACAGACAAATGAAGAACAAGGTCAAGAAAACGACAGAACAGCAACACACACACACACACACACACACACACACACACACACACACACACACACACACAGGCAGACCGGACATGAACAGTTGCAGCAAGCTCGCACCGTGGCCTTGTAGTTGCCGACGATGAAGCACTTGACGCCCATCTTGTAGTGGAGGGCGGGGTCGCCGAGCCTGCAGGCAATCCACAGCGGAGAGTGAAGACATGAACACGCGTGCAAGTCCGGAAGCTCACAGCTGCAGCGATACCAGGAAACCTGCACACAGACACAGACAGACGCACACAGACACAGACACCACTGCACTGCATACGTATCCTGTCCCACAGCGCGTGCAGTGGTGCGCACCTTTCGCCCGAGTGTGTGTCGACGACCAAGTGACCGGGGAAGATGCCCTGCTTTCCTTTGCACACGCCCTGAAGGATCTACAAGGACCCGTTGCATGCAGGCACGACAACGCAACAAGGTGCACGGCGACAGAATAGCGTGAGTTGGTCGCGAAGCGGGTGGGATCTGGGCGGGACATGTATCGGGTCAACAAACGGAAGAGGGAACAAGAGCACACACACATACACACACA